TTTTTTTTTCTTTTTTATGATTCTAATACTTAGAGATAACTGTTAACATATTAAGAGATAGAAAGGGAGCTCATGGGGCGGCACCTGTGGCTCAGTGGGTATGGTGCCGGCCCCATATACCGAGGGTGACGGGTTCAAACCTGGCCCCGGCCAAATTGCAACCAAAAACAGCCGGGCGTTGTGGCGGGCGCCTGTAGTCCCAACTACTCGGGAGACCGAGGCAAGAGAATCACCTAAGCCCAGGAGTTGGGGATTGCTGTGAGCTGTGTGACGCCATGGCACTCTACTGAGGGCCCTAAAGTAAGACTCTGTCTCAAAAAAAAAAAAAAAAAAGACTTTATAGAAAGGGAGCTCACTAGCTAATAGACAGTCAAGTTTTCTTGTCCTTTTCTCTGCACATGGAAACGTGTGTCTACTGGAAGCAGGTGGGCTTATGCCACTCAGCACCGGGGACCTGATTCAGTGTTGGGGACTGTTCTCCACACTCTCCTTCCCCACCAGTTTAAGCACAGAACAAGTTTCCCTGCCCATTTAGAGCTAGTCCTGCCTTTGTAAAGACTAATCTCTGCAGAGCACCGTTGGGACACGGGGTCCTGGTCACCCCACCAACCTTATCCCACCAGGTATGGCCAGGCGTCCTGTCTGCCAACCAGGTCACCCGGAGCAGCTCCGTAGCTTGCTGGCCACATGCAGGATGACCCAACTTGGTACTTAAGACTCACATACAGTGTTAAAAGGGCCAGATCAGGCCAACTCCAAATCTTATGCTTATCTCAGGGCCCCCCCACCCAGTTGGCCCTGGTCTCCAGTGGCAGTGTGTGTGTGGCGGGCTGGGGGGCCATGGCTGCTACTGGCACCATTGGACTCCCAATGTCAGCACATTTGTGCACCTCAGATGCAGTGACCCATCAGGGGTCTGATGGCCCTGACAAAGGTCCTGATGAGGGTAGTGTGTCTTCCACTCACCTCTCTTTCCCTTCCACATGGACTTACCCAACCTGAACTGCCAGGTACCACTGACGGGGCCTCTGCTCTGTCTTCAGGTTCTTGTCCTGGGAGTGTCCAGTCCAGACCTGGTCCCAGCTGCCCTCCAGTCAGTAACCTGGGCTCCATGGAGGACAGAGCAGAGACATCTGTGGTCCCAGAAACCAAACACCTATGGCTGGTGAGAAAAGCGTTGCTGTCGGGGTGGCTGGGAGCCTCTTGAGTGTCCCCCTTCCCTTCACTGGTTGAGACATCAGCCTGGTGTCCAGGAATAAGGGGGCCTCCATCCCGTGGGTGTGGCTTGACCCTGTGTTTGGCAGGAGGCTGTACCCATCTGGGAGCTGGGTCTTCGCTGCCGCCTGCTGGGCGCATCAGCACTGTGGTCCCCACAGCCAGGGACAGAGTTGAGGTTGGTTGGTGTGGTCCCTATGGGGTTGAAGCAGGTGGCAAACCTACGCATCCTCTGCCTTAAGAACAGTTTCACTGTGTCAAGACTGACTCTGGTTGTGACTCTGCTGCTATGCAGTCTGTGTGCTTGGGACCCTGAGTTCTATTAGCTATGAATTTTGTCTGACCTTTGATAGTAGAGCGCTGCCCCAAGTTTTGGTGTATGATTTTATCAAATGAAAGATCACAGGACTACATCCTTATAGTGCACCCTGCAGGTGTGTGATGTTGATAGTGTGGTTGCAGTCACCCATTGAGAGGCTCAGATGAGAACAAGTGCTATATAAAAGTAAGGCACTATTAATATTCTCCAACCCAAAGGTTAACACTTGCCCCGTTAGTCCGGGGTCAGTTACCTATTGCTGCATAAGAATCTATCTCATAATTTGGATCTTATAATAACACTATCTCAGGTTTCTGGGGCAGGGACCCAGAGGCATCTGCAACCTGGTGGCTGTGGCTTGGGATTTGTGAAGTTGCCATCAGGATGGCAGCAGAGCCTGCATTCTCAACTGAAGGCCTGACTGGGGCTGGCAGATTTGCTGCCCAGGTGCCCTTACCTGACTATGTAGCCTCTTTGTTGGGCTTCTTGAGTCCTCACAGCACAGCACTGGCACCTCCCAGGGCACAGGTGGTTCAGGAGAAAGCAGGGTGGAAGTCCCAGTGCATCTTATAACTTAGTCTCAGGAGGGGCACACTGCCCCTATTGAGGGATTCACCAAGTCCAGTCTGTTCTCTAGGGCAGAGGGGAATCTGGCTCTCTTCTTACTCAAGGACTAAAAGGACCTAGTTTTAAATGACCAGAAGTCACATAAGTGACTTGTTAGCTCCAAGATATCATAAATGGTATCTGGAAGCTTCCACTATCACACATCAGAGGATCAGTCCCCTTCAGTCTACCTTGAACTCAGCCTCATCTGAGGAGCAGCTGCTGATCTATGTTAGCCAGCATGAGCTCCGCTGGCCATAGCTTTAGTGCAACAGGTGTGAGGTATGGAGGGGACTGTTCAAACACAAACCACACTATCCAGCAGCCAAAGACAGAAGCCAGGATCCCTGGTGCCTCAAGTCAAGGTAGAGAGTGCAGGGCCAAAAATCCCCCAAGTGCCAGGAAGTAGCCTATGTCCTAAACAGGATCAGCGTGGTGACTCTGAAACAGATTCACCCTCATAGGCTGTGCTCCCACCTGCATCTGTGGTGACAGCTGACGTCTGAGATCTGAGTGTGAGTCCCTGTGTCAGGGGTTTCCATGTGTCATCTCAGTGGAGTTGAAGTACAGACCCGTTTTGTAGAAGAGAAAACTGCAGCTTAGGGTGGTCAAGCGTCCAATGCTAGGCTAAACTCCAGGGGGCAAAACAGGTCAACTCAACATCAAGCAGCCCAAGAGCAGGTGGTCAGGACACAGCTACACCAAATGCACAGAGATAGGGAGGCAGCATGTCGGAGGGTCATGGGGCTTCTGGGGGCAGTACGGACATGAGATGCTGTGGCTGGCTTGGGTCAGCTGTGGTGTGGCTGCAGCTGGGGGCACTTTGGACAAGCATGGGGTGTTAAAGGGAGCAGGGCAATGTGTTGGGAGGGTGGCAGGGTCTCATCACAGAGCTGGGCTCGTGTGCGTCTTCTAGGACTGGGTGGCAGGCTGAGGCATGCCTGTTTTAAGGATTGGGCAGGCTTGTTTGGACTGAGGCCAGGAAGACAAAGGGTCCTTAGGGAAGGAGAAATACTGTTGAGAGAATCCTACTTGGAAGGCCTTATCCCTGTGGCCCAGTGGGTACAACCCCTTGGCTCTGCCCCCAGGAGTTCAGCCATCCTGTGGAGAGCCTCGCCCTGACCGTGGAGGAGGTGATGGACGTGCGCCGTGTGCTGGTGAAGGCTGAGATGGAGAAATTTCTTCAGAACAAGGAGCTCTTCACTGGTCTTAAGAAGGGGAAGGTGAGGTGGGTTGGGCCCTGGTCTGCTCAGGAGGCCTGAGGGGGCAGGGACAAGGCCAGACCACAGTGAATTCTAGAAACTCTGGGTTCTAACCAGGCCTTCCCACAGATCTGCTGCTGCTGCCGGACCAAGTTCCCACTGTTCTCGTGGCCACCTACTTGTCTGTTTTGCAAAAGGTGAGTATTCTACAAACATTTGGCTGTGAACCCACAGAGGGGAGGAGGTAGGAAGCCCCTTAGCTAGTGCTGACCAACTTCTTGTGATTACAGAAAGTTCTAGTGTGTACCATGTGTCTTAAGTCCTCAAGGTCAGTACAGCATAGCAAGGGCTCACCCCACTGGTATGGAATAAGGAGCCTCAAACTGAGCTTGCTTCAAGCCCAACTGACATCATAGAAGCAAGATTTGAAGGGACCAAACTACTCCCAAGCGTCTTAACTGCTTCCCTGAATAAAGCTCAAGAGCAGGAATTTAAGAAGTACACAGTACTCAGCAATATAATATGTCTGGCATCCAGTCAAAGATGACTAGGAATGC